ATCAGAGTAAAAGCTGAAGCCCTTATGCTGGCCTCTATAACATTGCTACTTTTCAGTCTGCTAAAGAAGCAATTTTGTTTTCTTTTAATTTCTAGTTTGAAGTAGATCAATACTTTACAAAAGTATAAAAATGAGTTACTACAGAGGCACCTGAGTGGCTCAGTTGGTTAAGCGACCAACTCTTGATTTCGGCTCAGGTCATGATCTCAGCGTCATGAGATTGAACCCTTCCACCCCCACCATCCCGCGTGGGCTCCACGCTCAGCACCAACTCTGCTGTCCCTCTCCCTCCGCCTCTCCCACACCCCTGCTTGCACTAACACACACTTGCGCACACTCTCTCTCTCTCTCAAATAAATAAATAAAATCTTTTTTAAAGTGAGTTACTACAGAGAGAAATTCCTCTGGTCATGATGAAGTAACTGATGTCATATTAGTTCTCCCACTATAAACTTCTAGAAAACTATTCTAAATAGAGCAACTGTTTTCAGAAACTAGTAAGTAGGGCAGGACTGTTTTCTGAGGGAAAGGAAATAGATGAGGAGAGCCCTGTGATTGCCCAGGCTTTCTACTGGGAGGTATTTACTAAAGTCTAGTGCTGGAGACAAAGCAGGGTAAGCGCTATTTGCTGAGAATAAGGAGAGAGAGATTGGAGTTTGGGGAGGCTGGAATTTGCCAAGAGGAATACCAGAGGGGAGGAAGCATGCAGAGAAAGAGCTCCCTAAACCTGCATACAGGTCCCTTCCATCTTTGGCTGAAAACTAAGCTGCGTTTGCATAGAATGAGATTTCTCAAGACCACCAAAGAACAACTACCTGGGAAAGAACAAGTCCCGGGGATTTGAAAGTGGAACAGCTACTCAAGCCCAGCCTGTTTTGGGGTTCCAACCAACCAGAGTAGAGACATCATCCAACACTGGGGACATTCAATAAAGACCCCAGGAAGGCCATACTTTAGGAGCAGGGTGAAAATAGCCCTAGATAAAAGTTACTCTAGGTCTGCACTAATGAAACTTTAACACAGGCCACAAAAGGACCAGCCTGTCCAAAAGTAAGTTAACTACCAGATTCTTTAGAAGAAGACAACAAAATCCAGACATTCAACAACATAATCCTCACAATTTCCATCATCCAGTGAAAATTTAGAGGACATAGGAAGCAACTGGAAAGTATGTTCTGTGACCAGAATAAAATTAGTCAGTATAAACAGATCCAGAAATAACAGGCATGATGCAATGAACAGAGATGGACTTTAAAACAGCCACAATAGGGGCACCAGCGTGCTCAGTCAGTTAAGTGTCTGCTTTTGGCTCAGGTCATGATCTCCAGGTCCTGGAATTGACTCAGCAGGGAGTCTGCTTCTCTCTCTCTCCCTATGCCTGGCCTCCCTGCTCATTCTCTCTCTCTCTCAAATAAATAAAAATCTTTTTGTTTTGTTTTTTATTTTATTATGTTACATTAGTCACTATATAATACATCATTAGTTCTTGATGTAGTGATCCATGATTCATCGTTCTTGTATAACACCCAG